GGCATTAGTGATGCAGGCAGTGGCGATGTCGTTGTTGCGAATATTTCGGTGACTCTTTAATAATCATTGTAAGTGTTACTTTTACATTTGTCCCAATTTGTTCGCAGTTTTTGGAAACTTTCAAGAAGAAAGGACTGTATTGAACGGGAAGAAGGCTTATAGTCTTACGGGTTTCTCTTCTTAGTTTTATTTATTTACTGTTTTTGCTTGTTTAATCAATATTTTTTGGGTTAAAGTTATTGGGGAAGTGTAGCGCTTATGTTACATATAAAATTGTAGGTTTTGCGTCAGTTTTTTTCGTGTTATAATTTTTTTATGTGTTTCTCTTAAGATAATTTTGTTGTCAGTAATTTTGTGATGGTTTTTTCGTCTGTGTTTTTTGAAGTACTGCAGATTGAGTTTAATGTTATGCTAAGCAATTTGCCTTTATTATTATTGATATTATTTAGTTGAGATGAATAGTCAGTAATGTTGCAGCTTAATGTGCCTGTGTTATTTTGCATAGCAGTGGCCGTTAGCTACAGCTAGTTATTTTTAAACAGAGTATTGTATAAATGTGTTGTATGGTGACGTCTACAGCTGCTATATAGGTAAGTAGTTTACTGAATAAGAGGGAAGGAGGTGAAGCAGAGTTGTGTGGAGGAGGAGAGTAGTGGAGAGCAGGGGGGAAAAAACTGTTTAACAGGTCTGCGTATAGAACACAACGTTGTGCGTTGCGCACCGCGCTTCATCGAAAAGGAGTTATAATGAATGAATGAATGAATAAAATGAATGAATGATTGGATGGACAAGCGAACGAGCAAATAAAAAGATTCTGCTCAGTTGATGATAGTAGTGATGGTGATTCTAAAGTAATTGCTGTCTCTGTTGTTTTCTTTCTTCAAGGACTGCAATTTTTTTGTTTTGCTTCTGAAAATAATAGCTTTCTATCACCTGGACTGAATATCCTGTTAAATTTGCAACGTATTTTTAATGTGAAACTGTAGTAGATTGTGGAAAAAAACGGTTAGTGAAAATTTCAGCTTGGTATTGTTTTCTTATTTTTCATTTTGCCGTTTATTCTGATCTCGTCTAGTTTCGCTTTTTAAGAAAAACGGGCAGCTTTGCTTTTAGTCTTTTTTTGCGCTGGTTAATTAGCACAAATTTTAGCACAACATTATTCCGGCTGTTTCTAAATATTTTGTTCAGAGTCTTCCTTTTTTCGTTTTCACTTTTTTTTTTTTTTTTTTTTTGGTGGTCTACTGGTTATATAAGTTAGTGTGACGTTGCTAACTAGAGATAGGTTCTTTCTTTTTCTGTCTTTTGGTTTATGGTTTCCGGTTTATTGGTCTTTATATACGTTTGCTACTCATTGCTGTCTTGCTAATTATCAGTATCTTTTCTTTTGACGGAATTAGTAAATGACGTTTTATCAGAAACTTTAAAAGTTAGCGAAGGAGGCTTTGTTGGACAGTATTTATTATCTTTGCAAGCAGAAAAGTACGAAGGTGATTAGCAGGCGATAAACGCTTGAGATTTTTTAATTTTTTTTAAATAGTAGATAGCATATGCTGAAAATGACATTTAGGAGATACAGTGGAAAAGTGGTTTCAAAAGTTTCAAAACTAAAGATAAAATGTTGATATCAAAAAGCATTATTGTGGGTAGTGATGTCCAGCCTATCTCAAATTATTACAGAAGTAATTTTACTGACTTGTACGGACATCTAATCCAAAACATTGTCGGGGAAAAGTTGTTTTTAAAATTTTTATATTGGGGTTCTACGTCTAATTATTGCTCGTTTAAATTCCTTGGAACAATCTATGTAGTCTGCAGTCATTTGTTGATTTGTACTTTTTTTTTTTACTTTTTTACTTTGTCATTGTGACTACTGTATTAATCTGTTGTGAGTTGCTTTATGTTCCATTCATTTAGCATGATATTTTTGTTCAAGTAAGCATATAAACGTTTTGCAAAGTTTAAAAGTCAATTGCTGTGCAAACGGCTATGTTATAGGATTTCAGTGGAGATCGTTGTGAGTTTCTTTTTTTTGATTTTTTATAGCTAGGGAAGAGCGGTTCGTTTTTTAAAGCATTTTCATTTATGGGTTTGGTGGGGCTATTTAAGATAAATAAACGAGCACGATTTTGGGTAAATAAGATTTTGCAGCTGTTCCGAAAATTACCAGAGTAGTTATTTGCTTAATGAAGTTTTTAGTTCTATGCAGTGGTCATTTTTTTGCATGTTGAGTTAATTAAGTCGGGTCAGACGTCTTTTTTTTTTTTTTTTTGTTCTTAATTGCTGTTGAAAGTGTCGTTGCGTCACACTTCAATCGGTAGTCAATATGGATTCTGAGTTGTTCAGCGTTGGGAGTAGTCTCTTGAATATAGCTTTAGGATTTCGGGAAATAGCGGCTAAAGAGCGCCTTCTACAGTTTGTATCGATTTAAAAGTTGCGTTTTGTTTAGTATTATCTGGCATTTTGTTGGCGCTTTGTGCATTCACTTCATTCGCATAGTTTTTTCTTCATTGTTGCATTTGTAATCAGACGTTTGCCCGACAAGTCCTCATTTGCTTTTCGATGATTACCTTTATATTAATTTATGTTCGCAACGGTTACCTCATTTGCTGTAAGAAGTGTCATTTGTTACTGTTCACCATATGTAAATTTTGCGTTTTTTTACGTTAGTGTGCGAAAATTAGTAGTTATGGTATATTTTCAAAAATTTGATTTTCTCTTCTGTCGGTTTCTGTCGTTTGGTTGTTTCTTCTAAACTTGCGGGACTGTATATAGTAATAATTTGTTGACAGGATTGAAGAATTCGAGTAGGTTTATTCGAAAAGCTGTAGAAAATTGTTTACTAATTCATTCTCGGCATCGCTTATTTTAATTTTATTATATTTGATAAAGCTCAGGTCGGGAAGATCATCTTAACTGTGGAACTGTTTGCTAATGTGAAGTGAAGCAATACAGGGATAACGTGTTAGCGCCTGTCGTAATCGGCGATTTTTTGTTTTGATTTTCACTGGTTCTTTGAGGCCTCAAAGATTCGAGTTTTATAAGCAAGGCCGGGTGACTGCATCTTTATTGACTTTTTAGGTCAAGTTTTTCATCAAGTCGGTACGTCCAGTGATATAAAGGCAGAGGAATTTTAAGTGGATGCAATTTTGTTGAGAAACTATTTGTTTATTACAGAACAGCAGTGTTGCTTTAATCCTGAAATGAAAAGAAGCCTGGTGGTGTTATCTTTCAACTGTGCTTTTACGGACTGTTGAAGGTTATTTGGCGGTTGGTAGTTTTTCTGCCGGTCAAAAATTTTTAAATGAGGTAAAAGGTGACAAGTATGGGAGAGATGTCATTAATTCTGAAGTTTTATATGGCCTCTGACGCGCATTTGTTTCATTTTCAGCTTTTTACGATAACCAGTTTCGGTTTGCGTGATTCTGTTTACAATATTGATTGCATTAAATATCTGTAACTTTTTGCAGCCACATCTTCTGAAGTCAAAGTGGTGTTTAACTTGTAATATTTATTATTATTTATCGTTATATCTGTGTTTGGTTGCTGGTTAAACAGTACTGGGTTCTCTTCAGCGGAAATCTGACCATAACGAATCGATGGGCAGAAGCCTTGGCTTATAACTACTCTCGTGTTCCGACTTAGATACGTAACTCTATAACTATTGCCCTTTTCGGCGCAAGCTCAGTAACTCAAGTTTCCACCTCCTCACTTATATACAGCGTACCGAACTCTCACTTCTCAGAGTTAGAACACACTGAAAATAAGGAAAGTCAGGAGGGCAACTTTTGTCGTTGGAGTGCGCATCTGCGCAAATACTCCCTCAACAATAATTTTTACTGCTTGCCTTTGAAAGGTATGAACGTAGAGGGCATATCTAATAAAACGGCAGCAACTTCAACAACAGGGTCTAACACGGATACTGCTGCTGGTCCTGCAATTCCTGGACAGCCAACTGCTAATGACAAAGAGAATGACAAGGATAGTGATTCAGACGGAGAAGGGGCGGAGGAGGTTTGTTTTAAACTTCCTGTTAAGTTGTTAGGATTGAAGCTTTTTTTTGTTTCGTTTTGACGAGAGCATATTTTATATAGTTCTGAGGTGCATCGTGCACTTCAGGTCATACATTTTGTTTAAAATTTACGGATTGCTTCGTTTATTATGGTAGATAAGTATATGTTTTACTGAATCATCATATAACTTTTTACTCTGTTTTAAAGAGTACTTTCATTATTTTTTCTACACTTTCTACATTTGAGAGAGAGGTAATAGTTTTAATAACTGATTTTGAAAAATTTGGATTTCTGCTTTATTTCTTTCAGTCTTAGCAGTCTTTAGTTTCATGAAATGTAATCGCATTATAATTTGCGGTTGAAATCGGAAAACCTACACTTGAATTTGAGGAATTTCAAAGTGAGTCGTGGAAAAAACAACTTATATTGGTAATTTCAGAAAAAATTGTTGTAGACATTATTTGTTTTGTTTATTTACTCATCAGTTTTTGAGAGCTTTTGTGAATTCTTTAAGTACTTGGCATAGGTGTTTGGAGTGAGATGATTACTTAATTTGACGATTATTATAACATTTATTGATTTACTGATTGAAGGACTTTCAGATACTCGAAGAAAGCCCGTGTAAAAGGTGGAGTAAACGTCGTGAGCAAGTTAAACAGCGAGATGTTCCAGGGATTGATTGTGCATACCTTGCGATGGACAACGAAACTGGTAATGAGGTTGTATGGAACGAGGTGTTGTTTTCTGAACGCAAGAATTTTCGGGCTCAAGAGGTTTTTTTGACATTATATTTTTTTTTTGGAAGCATTTTTCGAGGTCAGATTTTGCTTTATCTTATCTGAGTCAAAGTTAATCATTAGTGGAATTTTTGGTTGGAAAGATCAGATAACTTTTGCTTTTTTTGTCGGGCTTTATCGAAACATTAGCAGTTTGCTCTACCTAGGTTGAGGATATTAAATTCAACCAGAAACATATTTGGGAAAGGCTGTAGTCGTTGGTCTCTTTTGTTAAAGGAAGTTTAAGGAGTTGTGAAATTCTTAAATCAAATTTAGTGTTGTAAATAGTTTTTTATTGATATGAAATTTTATTCACTGTTGCTACCAGTTCTCTTTTCATATCTTAATTCATCGATTCTGAGAAGCATTTTCTGTGTACTTTATTTCCTATTTTTAATTTATTGGTGATTTGCTAGGGAGACGAAAAAAATAGTTTTAGTGGGACTGTGGGGAGGAAATTTCATAGGCAGGAGGTCTTTCTGTTAAAAGAATATTACAGTAGCTTATTGGAGATACAAATCGGTAAACATATTTCGGTAATTGTCTACCGATAATGTATGTCGTGCAAAGATTACTTGGGACTAATTTGTGGGGAATAAAAACTCCAATTTTTGATGGTCAATAGCTGTCTTACGGTGTTTTTCAATTGTAAACTATCTCAATGAGCATTTTAGGATAGTGTTTAAGGTAGAAATAGTAAGTTTATCTGTTTTACAAATGCTAGTGCTCAAGATTATCTATTATTGGAATTTTGACAGTACATAGGACAATGTATTTTGTTCCCACCGTGTGGAGACATTAATTAGTCTTCTAGTCAAGGTTTTGCCGGTTCTTGGGAGTTATGTGTACCTTCAACAATGCATTCTAATCTTACTGAATCAGCCTGTTGAAGATTCTTAGAATAGCTTGGTAAAGTCCTTGAAGAGTTAAGTAGAGGCGTGACAGTTTCCAGGTTGCCAGTTGTATTAAGTATAAATGTTAACAACTGCAACGCTGGGAATTTCTGCAAAAGTTTTATTTAAAATGAATATGTATTTTTAGGAAAAAATTAACGCGATTTTTGATAATTTGACGCATTTGGTTCACACAAACTTGGTGAAATTCCACAAATATTGGACCGATGCTAAGTCGGAAAAACCAAGAGTAAGGATGTCTAATGACTTATCATTCTAAAAGACTGACCTCTTAATGGTCTCTTAATGTTTTATTTCTTAGACTTCAATGTTCAGATAATTTTTATAACGGAGTATATGTCATCCGGTTCCCTGGCTCGTTTTCTACAGAGGACAAGAAAGTCAGGAGCAAGTTTAAGTCTGAAGGTATGGATTAGATATTGTTCAAGATTGGAATTGATGTATTTTTCTACTTTTAAGACTACCGATCAATTCCTAACTTTGTATTTCAATCGCATTTGAAGGCTTGGAAAAAGTGGACTACGCAGATTTTATCTGCTTTGAATTACCTGCATTCCTGCGATCCGCCTATTGTTCATGGAAATTTAACCTGCAACACTATGTTTATTCAGCACAACGGTTTAATTAAGATTGGATGTGGTTGGTATTTCATTGCTTAATTTTTTTTATAGAATGTGTTTATATGTTTTGTAAATTGCACTGAACACTTGAATTTTGGGAAGAAATATTGAATTGTTCATAATTCCTTTTTAATTTTTCTCGACAATCCTTGCTGTGCATTTTTTGTAACTTTTTGTTTCAGTTGCTCCAAATGCCATTCATCATCATGTAAAAACTTTTCGAGAGAACTTCAAAAATATGCATTATGTTGCTCCAGAATATGAACGTAAGTCCTATTTTAGTAGTCATCTTGTCTTTTTTAAATAACGGGACATTTATTTACTGCATTTATAGTTGCTGTTAGGTTGTCATTAATTTCCATTGACATTATGTCAAAAAAGTGAAAAATGATTTTTAAAAAGTTTCAGATTGTTCGGCGGTTACCCCTCAAGCTGACATCTATTCCTTTGGAGTTTGTGCTCTTGAGGTTTTATCTGATATTTTTTATTTCGTCTTCTTATCCTGGAAGTTTCTTTTGTTGGTTTTGTGGTTCTCACACTATATTCTAGATGGCACTGCCGGAAGGCTTGGGAGGTGCAGCTTCAAGCGTGTCAAATGGTACATTTAGTGAGTCTACAAGCATGATAACACGTGATATGATAATGAAAGCTCTTGATACGATTCAGGATCCTATGCAGAAGGTACTGTTTCCAAGTTTACTAAAAGCATGATATTTATTGTAGCTGCTCTAGAGATTCAGCTTTTTACGTTGCTCCTGTTGTCATTGGTGCATTAATGCAAAAACTTTTGGTTTTCTAATTCCGGACTTGAAAAATTTTTTTTTATAATTTTCAAGGGTCTGTATTTTATTCAGGAATTTATCGAAAGTTGTTTAAATCTCGACCCAACTAAAAGGCCTACAGCGCGCGAATTGCTCTTCCATACCATTCTCTTTGAAGTATTATTTAGTTTTATATTATTTTGGTATGATTTTTCATTAAGATTTACACATTCATGAAGACGGCTGCTTAGTTGATGCAGTTTTCATTTTGTGCCTTCGGCTTTATTGATTTGAAGAAAAGATTTTGTTCAGAAAGAGATGTACCTTTTTCTATAATTCAAAAACTTAAGGTTTAAATGAATTTTATTTTACCGTACAAGGTTTACTGCTTTTTACTTTTGTAACAAATGGAGTCTTTTACATTCATTTCATGGCTTTGTGTGCTACATAAACATTAATTTCGTCGGCTTTAAGATATTGTTCACAAAAAGAAAATCAATTTCTCTTTTGACTTTTTGTTAAGTCTAGGTCCACTCTTTAAAGCTGCTTGCTGCTCATTGTATCGTTGCTTCTAAGCTGAACGAGAGTATCAGTGAGGATGATTTACGCGTTGAGGATAACGAGCGGGTTGCAGCTTCTTCAAAATTCCGTGAAATGGCGTACTGCCAGGTTCCAGCATTCCAAGTAAACTATTATCATTATTTTTTTCCATCTTTTTTGAGAGCTTTTAGAAAAGTATATGACAGTTAAAGTAGGTTTTGGGAGAAAATGCGTGAAAACAGTTAGGTCTTATTAACACAGATTTTACCATGAAAGAGGTAGAAGTTTTTTTCAAAAGTTTCTTCAGACTTGCACCGGAAATAAAGTTTGCTAGATTTCGATTTTTCGAGTGTTGTTTTTAAATTGAGCTTTAGCTTTGAAGAGTCTTCCAGGCCGATCTAGATAAGTTTCTGGAAGATGTTAGTAATGGTATTTATCCGTTGACGGCATTTGCTCCATTGGCTCATCAGCCCAAAATGACTGCATCGACCTCATCCACGGTTTTAACCGCTGATCCCTCAAATGGTAACTGTTTTTTTCTTTTTTTTTTTTTT